GGGCACATTATTATATTTTAGTTATTTTTCTTTTTATTTTATTGCACTTAATATTATTATATTTTGATATTTATTGTAAAATGTAATTTTTATAAATATATAAAAATGTGATTTTAGAAAATAAGCGATTTGTTTTATGTATTTATAAAACAAATTGTTTAATTTAAAAAATCACATTTTTATATATTTGTAAAACTAACATTTTACAATACCTATTAAAATAAAATAATAAGTACAATAAAATAATAAAATAAAATAACTAAAATAATCAGTTTTTTTAATTTTACAATATTATGATATAAAAAAAATTAAACTTTATTTATTTATATTATTATATATTTATTTATTTATATTATTATTTATAAAAAAAATTAAAAATTGTAATTAAAAACAATTGTTCGGCTTCCTCTTCCTCCTCGTCTCATTCCTCTTCCTCCTCGTCTCATTCCTCTTCCTCCTCGTCTCATTCCTCTTCCTCCTCTTCTCATTCCTCTTCCTCCTCTGCTTTCCATATTTCTTCTCTCTCCATCTCCTTCGCTTCTTTCATCTCTATATTCCTTCCTACGCGCAGACCATTTATATCTATAAAGCATAGAGAGATTTTATTTATTTAATTTTTTTATACATATATATAACTCTTTATTTCATTTATTTATTAATATTTAGAGAGACAATATATTATACTGCATGTATGCGTAAATGCTGTATTATATTCTAGCTTGAAAAAATATATACAGGGTGTCCGGTAACTAACGGACCAATGATTAAGGGCGGATTCTCTGGCCAATTTGGAGACGATTTTTCCTTCGCAAAAATGTTGAGAAGTCAATAATTTTCGAGTTATAAGCGATTGAAAAAAATGGGTTTTTTAAAACTAAACGTTTTGGAGTTAAAAGTCTAACATAATTACATTCTTCAGTTAATTTCAGGTAGAGTTTACTATAATAAAATTTTAATTTGAGGCTTAATTATAAAGATACATAATGACAAATATTGGAAAGTTGTAAAAATTAAATGACCTTTTTCGACATTTTCGCTGAGGAAAAATCGTTCCCAAATTGACCAAAGAATGCATTTGTGATCGTTGGTCCGTTAGTTACCGGACACCCTGTATGTATATATTTATATATATCAGAGATGCTGATTAAATAATCGTTAATTAAGCGATCTTCGATTAATCTAGCTTATATCAATCGTCATTGTAACGATCTCTAATTAATCTTTCTAAAATTAATCGTCAATTCAAAATATTTTAATTAAATCTCTTCATATCATTTGTTCAATTTTAAAAATTTAATTGATATTTTGCCAACTCTGATATATATATATATGAAATTTAATTCAAAATTTAATAAACATACCTCGCATCACGTTCGACACGTTTTATCCCAGCCCGACGCCGCGTACGGGAATCGTCTTCGTCGTGCTGATGTTGCTGCTGTTGGTCGTCTCTTTCTCGCCTCTCTTCTCTAATAATAAAAGATATCAAAATATTATATATATATATATATATATATATATATATATATATATACATACATACATACATACATACATACATACATATATATATATATATATATATATATGCGTGCGTCCGTGCGTGTGTGTATTGTGTGTGTGCGCGCGCGTGCGCGCATGTACGTGTAATTATATACAAATATAATATTTTAATATTGTATATTTAAACATATATATAGAACAATATATGTACCTTTCTTCATCTGCTTCATCATCTGCTTCATCATCTGCTTCAACATCTGCTGCTTCATCACTATCTTTTATAATATTCTGTAACTCTTGCTTCCATTTTTTTATTTTTTCTTCTTTTTCTATTAATTCTTCTAACTTTCTCTTTGCTTCTTTTTTATCCATTCTGTAATAAAAAAAAACATTATTACGTTTGTGCAAATATTTTATGTTTCATATATATATATATATATATATATATGTATATCCCAGCAAACACAAAATAAAAGTAATATATATATATATATATATATATATATATATATATAACATTAATACAATGTTCTACGTATATATAAGGCATGTTGCATTTGCACGTACATTGCAATTAAATTGTTGATTGAGTTATAATATATATTGATTATATATAATATACATATAATAGATATTGATGAAATATAATATATATTGATGTTATTTTTTGTATAATATTTCCTGAAATATATAATATATAATATATATTTCAGGAAATATTATACAAAGAATAACATCAATATATATTATATTTCATCAATATCTATTATATGTATATTATATATAATCAATATATATTATAACTCAATCAACAATTTAATTGCAATGTACGTGCAAATGCAACATGCCTTATATATACGTAGAACATTGTATTAATGTTATATATATATATATATATATATATATATATATATATATATATTACTTTTATTTTGTGTTTGATGGGACATATGAGATTTGTAATCTGGCTACAACATTTATATATATATATATATATATATATATATATATATATATATTTAAATGTTGTAGCCAGATTACAAAATTCGTCGTTTTATAAAACGTTTAGCCATTTTATTAAGTGCAGCCACATACATTCTTAAATTATGATTAAAAATGAAATATTTTATAATCTGGCTAAGAATTTTAGTCTTTATATATAAAAAGAAACTCATCGCAACATTGTCAAATTCAATGATTTGTACGTCATTTTAAATTCTGGCTGGTTCACTTCAGTCATTTAATATGAACGACGCGTTTTATCCCTATTATTTTTTATGAACAAAAGACTCATGTTACTTATCATAAAATCTCAATTGTAATAAATCTGTTAATAAAAAGCACTATAATTTATAAAATTTATAAAAATACTAAAATTTTTATAAAAATACTAAAAATAACATCAATTATGCCGTTCATTAAATGACTAAAGTGAATTAGCCATCAGAATCTAAAATAAATGTACAAACAATCGTTGCGTTTGACAATGCAACGAGTCCTTTTTATAAAAAGACTAAAATTCTTAGCCAGATTAAAAAACATTTCATTTTCAATATATCATAATTTGAGAATGTGGCCGCATTTAATAAAATATCTAGACATTTTATAAAACGACGAATTTTGTAATCTGGTTACGATATATATATATATATATTCTTCACCCACACACACACACCCACACACACACACACACACACACACACACACACACACACACACACCCACACACCCACACACACGCGCGCGCGCGCGCGCGCACGCACGCACGCTCGCACACGCAAGCGCGCGCGCGTAAATACGAATATGTATATAATATTAATGAATTACTACTTACTCAACTTTTAATCTGCTACTTCTGCTAGCCTCGATCTTTCCTGTTTCACAGCCTCGGATAAACTGCCAAGCGGAGTGCTATACACTTTTATATAATATATATATTGGACACGAGTTTCGTTTGTTTCACATTCTCGAGAGTTCAAGTAGGAACATACGAGTATCATATATCGTTTGTGACTTGCCGAATGAAAACAAGACATAGAGCAAACGAGATGATGAGCTTAATAGCTCATAATGTTATAAATAAATAAATAAAAAATTATAACTTGACCTACTATAGTTATTGAATCTTTTTTTAATAAATGTTTCATTATTATTATCATCTAAGTCTAAGTTGTTTAATTAATTTTTAGTTTTTTAATAATTAATTTAATTTATTCTAATCATTTTTATATGAAAAAAATAATATCACGTATACGTTTTATAATGAATTAATATATTTCGAGAGCCGAATTATATATTCTTAATAATATAAGTGTTTAAAAATTATATTTGCCTTTTAATTTCAATTATTTTAGCAAAGAGTTCCGAAATTTCTTACACACATAATAGGGATTTTGTTCATCCATATAATTTGCAATTAAGTATATATGTTAATTATTAATTTTAATAAAATAAAAATAAAAATTAAAGGTCAAATATAATTTTTGAACATAAATATATTAATTCATTATAAAACGTATACCCGTGATAGTATTTTTCTCGTACAAAAATAACTAGAATAAATTAAATTACTCATAAAAAAATGAAAAATTAATTAAATAATTTATATTTTATATGATAATAATAAAACATTTTATAAAAAAACAGATTCAATAAATATAAGTACATGTTATATATATATACTTATATTTATTGATCTGTTTTTTTATAAAATGTTTTATTATTATCATATAAAATATAAATTATTTAATTAATTTTTCATTTTTTTATGAGTAATTTAATTTATTCTAGTTATTTTTGTACGAGAAAAATACTATCACGGGTATACGTTTTATAATGAATTAATATATTTATGTTCAAAAATTATATTTGACCTTTAATTTTTATTTTTATTTTATTAAAATTAATAATTAACATATATACTTAATTGCGAATTATATGGATGAACAAAATCCCTATTATGTGTGTAAGAAATTTCGGAACTCTTTGCTAAAATAATTGAAATTAAAAGGCAAATATAATTTTTAAACACTTATATTATTAAGAATATATAATTCGGCTCTCGAAATATATTAATTCATTATAAAACGTATACGTGATATTATTTTTTTCATATAAAAATGATTAGAATAAATTAAATTAATTATTAAAAAACTAAAAATTAATTAAACAACTTAGACTTAGATGATAATAATAATGAAACATTTATTAAAAAAAGATTCAATAACTCTAATAGGTCAGATTAATTTTTTATTTATTTATTTATTTCATTTATTATTTATTTTATTTATTTATTATACATCATAAAATTCTGTCCTTTCCGAAATACGCGAACGCTACGAAAAGATAAAATCTCGTATATGCCGTCGGACGAGTTCATGAGCATAAGACGCTCTTATCTTGGGAACGTATTAATAGTTCCTGCATTGACCACTACTACGATATGGCGCTGAAATCAGTGAGAAATGCTGGTCTCTCCTTCATCCAGACCTTTGGCGATCTGTCTATTAATCTGTGGCATAGGCTTGTCCCAGCTACGTTTACGCATAATTTTAGCGTTTAATTCTTAAAATGGTAAGTTGTTAATTTGGAGACTCCGAGAGAGGAGTCTCTGTGCTGATTATATTAATTATAACAATGACGTTTTTCCAGTTTTACTTGGAATTTTGAATAAACGCGATTCTTTGCGTACTTATATTTATTCGATTTTTGATATCCAAGCGATTCCGTATATATCGCATTTCATATTTCAAGTAATTATAACTGTGAACTTCTGCATGGATATATGTTGTTACGTATTTCCATACTGATGATCAAATCTGCATCAAAAATATATAACTACAATATATAAAAGCTATTAAAAGAAAATCATATATGTACAAGATCGACTTCGACATGGAAGTCCAAGGTTAAGTCGACGCGCCATTGAATAAATAAGCTTCGAATAAAAAACAAAAATGTTAGGAAAGTTAAAAATGCGCAGGTAAACAAAACAGGCTCGTTTAAGTTTCTTTTTATCTCAAAATAATAAAATATAAAGAAAAGAATGGATTTTCTTCAACGCGAATGAGACGAATAACATATTTCCATAAATATAAATACTTGGACGAGAGCGAAGATTACGCGCGACCTCTCTCGCCATTCATCCCCAGCTACCTCGCGGCGAGATTGAGCGGTATTTATTTATCTTTATTTTTTTTTCAACGAGAGAAATATGTATCACGCGCTTGGCGCGGCGCGCGTTCGATCGCGCGCGGCACCGCAGGATCAACGACCTAAGAAAGTGATATAGGTTAGGTTGAGGGTATGCGCGCGTGGTATGCGGAAGCGCGGGATGGGTGTGACGCGGTGAGGGGTGCAGGTCGCGGGGGTGGCGCGAGTTGCGTCATTGGATGCTTGATGTCGCAGGGCCGAACTCGCGGCCCTCGAATTCGCGGCGATGATTTTCGCGAGTCTATGTATATTATAGTTTTCAATTTCCACGAGAACTTTGAAAATGATGATGAAGCACCAAAGGGTAGATCTAAATATATCTGAGTTTTCATGTGTCACTTTTTGCTGCGATATATTTTTTTAATATATGCATGTATGTATGTCCCATACAGCACAGGTTATTGCAATTATATTGCAGCAACGTTGCAATGTTGCAAGTTGCAATGCAACATTATAAAGACATTGCAGAGATATAAGTGCACAAAATTCCAGCACACTTGTAGCAACATGACATTAATATTTCGGAAATATTGCATGTAATCCAAATTCTATAATTTATATATTGTAATATATATAAATGAACTACAACGTATTTTCATTAATGATTTATTTACATTTATATACCTGTATATGCAACATTAGTTTATGGTTGCAATAACAAGCATTATTGCAAACTCATAACATATTGCAATATTGTTGTAATATTTTGTTGCAATCTTCCAAAAGCGGACATTTTAACATTGCTGCAATTCAACAGCAATGATGTAGCAACATTTTGCAGTGAATTTGCAATATTGCAATATTGCGGTGAAAGATTGTTGTAATGTCTTTGCAATCTATCGGTGCTGTATGGGGTATAATTTAATACATACATGAACAAAAATAAAGGATCGATATTTCAATTAATATATGTTAAAATGGTGAATCTCTTATGCATAACTAATCGTACATTTCTTTCCAGGAATGTGGATGGATAGTCCAATACATATCCCAGTGCGCATTTCTGCTAAATACAAGCTGCCACTTCAGCCGGCTATTTTCGGAAAAATCAATTTCGAGGGTACATTAATTAGATCAACGGAGAAGCTGGCTTAATAAAATATGAATTAAAGGTGATTAAAGGATTTTTGGACCCATTTATGGATGGAACAAATGGAAAATAACAGGTATTTCATATTAGCATATAATTAAAGCAATCACCAAATAGAGAGAAAAAAGGCATTTAATAATTTTCGATCAACCCTTGCTTTTCAAAAGTGTAAAAAATGCAAAATCCCTCCTCGACGACTCTTGTTAATTTCTTTCCAATCTATGTTTATAATTTCGCTTTTTTTTCCTCCGCAATACTTTCGAAATATTCATCTACTCTCCGTGGAAAATCTTCATCCAAACACGCGAGATCATATTTATCTCTTATCTGCGGGCGCTTACAAATTGCGACTTATACAGAGTTCGCTCGTTATTCAATCGCGCGCGTTCAATAATAGGCATGTGTAATAATGCATTCTTCCCGTAGGTTTTCCGTCCGCGCTCTTTTCGCGCGCAGTTCGTCGGTTCGCTCACGAGAACGCTTTATCGACGCGATGCGGCTCTTTTTGGCGGCGAGTGAGAGACGAGACGAGGCGAGGCGAAGCGAGAGACGACGAGAGACGAGGTGGCGGAGGAGAGGAAGGTTCGCGCGATTCCTGGCAACCGGTTGCCAAGGGCCACGCGAGGTCCTCGCGCCGCTCCTGCACTCGCCGCCTCGTCGTGGGTGGCTACCGTGACGTCCTAATCCTGCCGCGAGTCCCTAGGGGCGAGATCGATACACACCGTGATCCGTTTCCCTTTCCCTTCCTCTTCCTCTCTCCAGGTTCCTTCTCCCTCCCTCCTCCCGTGTTTTCGCGCGCGATGGGTTAGGCACTCATCGATCTCAGTCGGCGAACTCGGAGATAAAAAAAAAAAGAGGAAAAAAAACATGGGAAAACCCGTCCTCTTCGCGGAAAATTGGCGTACTCTGATAATGCCTCGCCCGTTAGCTCGTAAAAAATTATTGCAACACGTGTGCGCTATGGGAAATATTTTAATCAAAGTACACGCTTGTAGGGTAGAGGGTTGCATTAGGGAGTAAACTGCTCTAGTACTAGATGAGATTGAAAATGATTTTATTTATTCAAAAGCATGTTATGTCGATTATACATTTTGTCGAACAGTTCTTTTCCAAAGACATGTTAAAATTGGTTGTCTCGTTGCGCTGAGAGTTTTCCGAGTTTGCAATCCGAGTTGTACCATGAAATTGGCAAACTTTTATTACTGAATATTTTATTTAAGAATATATGATTTTATAAGACATATATTTTTCTTTGTAAAATCTATATCTTGTATAATCTTATTATGTTTTATTTTTTTGTTTTACATACACAATGCCAAAAATTATACTTTTTATTTTACAATTAAAGAAAGAATGAATATACATTTATTATATCTATAATTGAATGATTTATAAAAAAAACTTGATGTTGAGAGCTAATTTATATACATTAATAATATTGAATATGACAATACGAATTCAGACATTGATCGAAACACTTTTGCAGATCTTTTCAAATTGATTTGTAGATTCTAAACTCTTTTCTACATTTTTAGAACCAATTGTTAGATTCCGGTCTCCCTCGAATCCTGAAGACAATCCACAATGTCCTTGCAAACCTCGACCAATCGTCATCTCGCCACTGTCTTCCCTCATCTCTGCAGCTCGTAGGTTTTCGTCTACCAGTAGAAGAGGAGGAAGGGCAAGGTTTGACCTTTTCGAGGGGATGACGGGATGGGTAGGACAAGGGTAGTTCGACGGTTGTCTTTTGGGGCATCGGCCCTTGCCTCGCCGAGGGAGAGTGAGCAGGGGCGGACGAGGAGGACCTACGCGTTATTGAGCGGCCATTTCCCACAAAGCGCAGACGAGGGCAACCACCCCGACGAAGCGCGCGGAGTCCTCTCTCTACCCCTACGCCCTCTTTTCACCCCGACCTCTCTACCCTCCGCCCTCGTCCTTTCGTCCCTTTGCGCGCTCTGCTCTCCCTTCGATCTACTACAGACGAGAGAACCTTTCCGAGACACGGATATAATGCACCACCTGCACCGACGCATCTTTTAAAATGGCGGATCTCTTTCTTATTGTCAGAGATATAACACGTGGATAATGTAACAAAGATTCGCAAGGACTCGAGGATAATTTCAAATGTTCAAATCTTATCTGTATCTTCGTCTTAATCCGTGTGATTTTATAAAACTATTTCTAAATTATTATTAGTGAGGAGTATTATTATTAGTGAGAAAGATAATGGGCTAAACAGGATCAATTTTAATATATGCGCATATGTATGTATGGTATATATGTATGCTATAGTCTAATGAAGTATGATTTGGATTCGTTTATCGATTGAATTCTAGAATTACATATATACAGCATCACGAGATCATCGAATAATATTTCAGGATAAACTCTCTTGCAAAATAGGAACAATTTTAGAATTAACAATGTGTCCTAAAATATTTACTAGAGATATTTACTCTTTTAAATATTATCACATCAAATTTAGGAGTCTCTAAAATTAAGAATAGCGCGTTAAAATATTAAAAAAAGGAAAAGTAAAATTTCATTTTTATAATCTACTTTTATCGTGATTATATATATGCTAAAATTTTTATTTTGCAAACGATAATTGATTATAAATTATCAACGGTGATTAATAAATCGAATATACGAGAGAAGGGAAGAAAATTTTTCGCGTAACGTCATGTCGGGGCTGAGCGAATTCGGAGAGCATAAGCCCTTTCTGCAGCACCACCCGACACACCGGCGGAATATATAATCTCGAGGTCATTGCCCGAACGATCTTTGGGGTTCGTAGTGTCTGCAACGAGGGTGAGAGACGCCTCGAAATACCGGACGCAGATATCGACCACCACTTTCCCCAAAAGACAAAAACGGGTCCGAAATAAGCGATAATAGCGTATCAGTAAATACCAAAACAAAAGCGAAACGATAATAATAACGATTTCAACTGTACATGGGGTGTTGCATACGAGATATATCTTGAAAATTTCATTTTTATGCCATTATTATATTTTCTCTTGATATCTACATCGATTATACGATTCTTTTATTTTAATATTTTTGCAAAATATGATGGTGAATTTTCACAAATGTAAAAATGAAATATTCATATAAAATTACTCTATAGTTGTAGAATTAAAATTTTACGTATATAAAGAAATGAATTTGTACAATGTATAATTTAGAAAAATATGCATTATATACATGAGATGTGAAACATAGATATTAATACATTAATAACTTGATACATTTGATTGCTTCTAGATTGATGAAAACGCAGTTGTTAAATCTGGACTTCCTGTATAATCATCAGTACATCTCACTTTTCTCTCGTTGCGATTATTTACATCGCATTCCGGATAAACGGCGTAAATAGGACGGAAAATAATGTGGATAATCAACGATGATTGAATTGCCGGGATGCCCTTTGCGTCAGCCGATATAACGTGTCAAACCGAACGCCACCATCATGTGATGCGGTCGCTTTAATGGTATGCAAATTACCAGGTAAATTCTGCGCGCGAGCTTTGTCGGAGTAGAAAGAGAGGAGCGGGGAGAGAGGGAGGAACAACGGAATAGAAGAGAAGGGATGAACAAAATTGAAAGGGTTGATTCGACGTGATTCTTGAAAAACAAACACGCGAGGTTCTCCTCCCCTCTATTAATTACACTAATGGAAACATTTTCGCGGCATTTTCGAGCCGATCGGAAAATATTGATGATCGAACCGATACAATGTATACAAAGATACAAAGTTATTTACATTACACGACAAAAATGTATCATATGTGTAATAATATTAATGTATTATTGAAGAAGAGTGTTTTAAAAAATCTCTGAAAGAGAGTAGTAGACACGTTTTATTAAAATTATTCCGGTACGAGTGCATCTTGAAATGTCTATTTTGTCTATATATCGCGGCAAGTGACGTACAAATACATGTAGATACATATACATAGATACACATACCGGGACGCCCGCATATCTATTTATAACGGCGATGAATTGCGGGGCGATTGACCGCGTGACCTTGACTTCCGGTTGATCCGACTGTCCTCCCTCTCTTCCTCCTGGGGATTTCAGTGTGTCTCTCGCGAGATTTCCCGAAGGCATTTGAGCACCTATCTAATCTCGTCCTTCAATTAGAAGGGAAGGGATGATGGGCGAATCGATAATTATCGGGGTAATGATCTCTCACGAATCATATCGAATAATTTCTGTAAAACAATTTTGATTTAGATTTATTTTTTCCAGCTGTAGTTATTTTACTTTATGCACTTTCAATCGGACGGATATATCCAATTATTCCAAGGAAAGAGAAAAATCGAAAGGAGGACTATAAATCAAACAAATCCTACATGTATAATTTGATGGAAGAGGATCGATAAAAAAAATGTGAAAAAATGAGAAGAGCTCTATTTAGAAGGAATTCTGAATACATTAAAGTCATTAAATTTAAAGAGTAAGTTAATTGCTAATTTTCTAATAATTAGATCATACGCAGTAATTACAAATTCAATGTTATACAGATACGTGAAAGACACTGCTTCATTCGCAACCGTAAAGATTTACATTTTTCCGTACTTAAAGAAAAACTTGAGACGATGTCAATCTGCGTTTACGGGCATAATAAGAAAGGATGATAAAACCCCAAATCTAATCTCACGATTTCGTGACTTACATCAAACGATCCGCGAATGACTCTGTTTAGCTCGCCGTTCCGCTGCCTCGCGCACGTTGCCTCCTTTTTCCTTCCTCCCGTCTCTTTCCTCCTTTTTTTCGTTTTGCAATCGCTCGAAAACCTGTTCGCACGAGAGTAGCAGCAACGGAATGTCCGAGTGCTGCTCGCGCTCTCATCTCGGGCCGATCGAACCGGTGAAGATCGTCGGTTCTATCGCGACGGTCTCGCTTAGAATTTCACACGTTATCCACCGTTCTTCAAACGTGAACGGTTCCATCTCTATATTTTTCCTTTAAACATTATTATCAAATAAAAGCATTCGATATATAATAATAATAAAATATAAATGATATTGAAAATTGTATCCAATAATATTAATAATTATTTATAATATATTGACAGTATTATTTTAGTAAAGTAAAACGCTACTCGATTACATATCCGGACAAGCTGATAAATAATACACTAATACTCTTGTTCGAATGTGATAGAAATCCTCTTAAGGTTGACTAAATAACCCTTGTTCGAATCTAGTAGAAATCCTCTTAAGGTTGACTAATAGATTTAGTTTGACTTGGATTTTGTGAGCGATCTGAGCCGTGCAAAGCGGTTTTTAGTTTCGCGATTAAACTTAAAAATGTATTTAATATTTTTGCCATGCATTTAATACTCTTTTCTAATATTCTCGTCATTAATTGGAACAGACTGGAAAGAAGAAGCAACAGAGAGAGAGAGATAGAAAAGCTACACTTGTAGGAGGTTCACGAAGGAGGATGCCGAGGAATGAAGGCTAACGACCTTGACCTTGTCTGTGGCGTGTGGGACTGTGTGCGCTTGTGATCACGAGAGGGAGAGAGAAAGAGGAGAGAATACGAAAGTAGCGACGAGAAAAGACATCGGTCAAAACCGACTGGCCTGCTTTCTTGCGCGTCTCGAGGCATGATGAGAACGAATGTATCCAGGTAAGCGAGGAGACCCGATGACTAACAATGAGACTGCGGCGACGTCGGGCGTCCTCGACAGCGATGGCAAACGATCGTGTTGCGACATATCGCGACGCATGGTGCATCGCTTAATAGGATTCTAAGGCTGCGTTCGCTTTGACGCTTTCAGCGCTGTCTTCGTTGCACATAGAATATCAAACGAAGACAGAATATGTTTATAATGCTGAAAGCGTCCAAAACGAACGCAGCCTAAGAGAGAGAAAGAGAAAGGAAAGAGAAGAGGGAGGAAGGACACACTGTGGTACAACGACATACACAGGGTGTTTCGCGAATGTGACACAAAACTTGCCTAGTAATTACAATCAGTGCCCAGATAGCACCATGTCTAAAATGCACCCATAAGACATCTTTAAGATGTTTTCAAGATGTCTTTGGGATACCATCATAAGATTTCTTAAAGATGTCTTAAAGATTTCTTAATGATGACTTATGCGTGAATTTTGGACATGGTGCTATCTGGGTGGCGTACTTAGTATTTTTATTTCTAACATTAAAGCAACAGAATATAGTTTTATTCGTTTAAGAAAACAGTGCTCCATAAGTGCGAAAATACTAAACTTATTGTTAGTCAATTAGATTTCGAAGGGGATGAAACCCTGGCAGCCTTCCTCCCCACAAATACGCCACTGACTGCATAACATATCATTCTGCGTTAAAGTTTTATGATATGTAAAATCGATACAAACGAGTCATCATATATTTCTCCATAGACAGATCGAAAAATATTTGGCGAATAAAATTGAAGGAATTGGAAAAGAAATTTCACTGTTTTCCTTATCTCGAGAACTTGGCTTTATTGTTTCCTCACTCTTTCTCCGAATTTTCTCAGTCGCAAAATTTAATTTCGCTGCAATCTACGAGGAAGAAATTCCTCAAATATATTCCACTGTGTTTACGAGACTCCGATATTTTTCGTTCTTCGAAGCGAGGCGAACACGCGTTCGTGCAATTGAGTGTCAATATTGATGTTTTCGTGATGTGATAAGCTCGATTGTAACATACGTTACAATGAACTTGAGAGAAAAGAGAGTAATAATTAATAATGATTTCAGTTTTCATTCATATATGAACATACATTATTTATATATCAATAACCATCGATTTTGTTTATATTTATATGTATATTGCATTGTTCTTAATGTATAAAATACTGCGTACCAAAGTTTTAATTTTACCTCTTATTTGAAAAAAAAAATTACTCTTTTATAAAACCAAAATAAAATTCAAGAAATGTTTCTCATTCGTTCTTCCTCATTCGCAGAAACCTGATTAATTGGAGTCGATCGCGGGAGAAATAACGATCCTCGACCTCGACGACGTTCCTCGCGACGTCGCGTTTCACCCGCCCGACGGAGAAGCTCATCAATGAGAGACGCGCGCGCGCGTGGAGTCGACGACCGCGAGAGCAGAGCAGGACGGGACGTCGCGACGAGGGATGCTGTCCGCACCGAGTTGCGTCGCGTCGCATCGCGTCGCTAGGAAAAAGAGAGGAAATCGCGACTCGATGCGTTGAAGGGGGAGACGGAGGGAAAATCCAGCCTGCCGACTCCTGACCTCCAAGAGAAGTAGGAGACGTGAGCGAGGTCGTTCCGCGATCGATCGATAAATGCGCTTTTGCCTTTGCGTCCAAGGTGCGAAGGAACTTTGCGTACGGAAAAAGGAAGAGAGAAAGAGAGAGGAAACGACAAACAGAAAGGGAGAAAGTGCGAGAGAAAGGGTGCGTGAGAAAAAAACCGCCCTGTCATTATTTGACAATACGTTCCCTTTTTTTTTTTCTTGTATATGTACGATATTCTTAATTTGATTATTTCCTCTTTTTTGATCAATTAAAATAAATGAAACAACAAGACTTGAGAATATTTAAATAATAGTAAAAAAGATTAATATAAAAGTCAAGCGTGAGATCAAGATGCAAATTAATTAATTTTAGATGCTGTCGATTAATTAAAATTAAACCTTTTGGATCTCACTTTGTATCCTATCTTTAATAATTAAAAATAGACGAAAAAAGAAATGTATTATGCGATTATAAAGTAATGATTAAATATATGTATGTAATGAAAAATGTAGAATTATATTTATTTTAATTATTATTTTATGCATGATCTACATTACATTGTTTTTTCGTCTATTTTTAATTATTGAAAAGAGCTTAAAGTTGGAACCGAAATAGGCTTTAATTATAATCAATAGTACTTAAAATTAATTAATTTTCTATTTTTTTAGAAAGTAAATTCTCTTTGAACATGATTTACTATCTTTTTTCTGTTTCTCTTTTTGACTGACATTGAGATTCTCTTCATTGAAAGAGATGAAATAATAATATTTTGATGCCTTTCTAATACTTTTGTTGTTTTGCAGGTTTCCTTTGACCTGAAGTCATAGACGAATTTTTGTCGCCCAGGTGGAAAATTTCTCGGTGAGCACCCCTGCGGAGAAAGGCGAAAGGACCGGAACAATCGATCCTTCGGTCTACGGAAAGAGAGCACGGAAGCTGCTTCTTCCTCTCGTTCTCTTCGTCTCTCTTGTCACATCTCGTGCTACTGTTTTATCTCTTCTTCAGACGTCGCATTCTTCTCAGGATTTTCAGGTAGCCCAGACACCTTTTCTTAGAAAAAAAATCCGAGCGTGTCGAGAAAACGAATAATGAATTAATCATTAGATAAATGTAAATATCTCTCGACGAAATGTCAGAATTAGAATAAGAAATTCTATCCCGACTTTTTTATTCGTCTATGTAAATTTGTTATCCTCACTTATACGATTTATTCGATCGAGCTGATGATAAATTCGGTAGATTACTTTTTTTAAATTATTATTTATACATATTTTTTCGTGAAAAAATTTAATCATAATTATACCCTATTATCAAATCAAGTATCCCTTCGATCTCGACCGATATAGCCATTTCTCTTTCTCCGCTACATTTGAAATACATAAACAAACAAGACCCGCCGCTTCTTATTCCGAGTCATAAACGATCCGCAATGCTGCGTGCTGCGTTTCGAGCTGAATAGGCTCCTCGGGAGCGGAGAGCGAGCGTAATGAACGTCCTCTCTCTCTCCCTCTTCCATCCATTCGCCACCGCGGCGCTCCGCGCGTTTCCACGGCTGCCAACCGCAGCGCGCCGAAACTCGCCGGCGATGTCGCGTCACCGGCTCTCCCCTCCCCCACCCTCCGCGGATCGCATTGCAGCAGCCGGCGAGATCGGCCCGGCGTCCTCGTCGCGCTCGATCGCTCCCTCTCGCTCGCGCCGCGACGCTCTCGCGCGTGTGTTGAGTGGCGGCAACGCAGACAGGCGCGGCCGCCGGAGCCCCAGCTCCGGTCGGTGGTGAGCGCCGACAGCGCCGCCACTCGGCGACTCCCCTCAGTTTCGGGCAAGATGGGCGCACCTCGCCGGGCAGTAGCTTAGTCTCTACCTACAAGACAACACACACACTAAACTGTTTCCTATAGTAACTATTAACCAATTGTATATTAATCTTATTTAAGGGAAACACACGAGAAGAGACACACACACGTACCACTACGGACAACACAGACGCACTTTGCATACGCTCCAGAAACCACACACGCAAGCTCTATTTTTGTAATAAAATAACGCGCCGTATAAAAAATTTGTAAGTAGTGTGTCGGCTGTGTAATTTCTACGACCGTTGACGCGGAAGAAAAAGAGAAAGCATTCTCCCGGTTCTTACGCTGGAAGAAAGAAGAGGAAGAACGAGTGTAAAAAAAAATCACACACACACATACATACACACATACAGACACACATTTAGAGAAGAGGAGTACGGTACATGTGTGTGCGCGCGGTCTGCGGTGAAATAATTCCTAGAGAGAGATACATAACGAGGAGAGAGAGAGGACCGGACGACGAGCATCATCGTCGAGGATCGCTCTCGGGGAAGGCCTCCGCTCGGCGACGTCAGGAGTGGTGGCCAAGCGGTAGCAGCGGCCGATAAGCGGCGGCGGCTTTTCCTGCAAGACAAGGTGCCAGTCGACGGCGGTCGCGGCGCCGTTAGTCTCTGCGTTTCGCGGCGCAGCGCGACGCAGCGTTGCGCTCTCTCTCCCTCCTTCTCTCTCTCTCTCGCCCGCTTCCCTTTTTCTCTCGCGGAGTCTCTCCGTCTTCGGTGTCCGCGGCGCGGAGAGACACGCGTTCGGTGTGTGCGGTGCGTGCGTTCGTTGTACGTATGTATAGGATTGTTCATTAATTCATTAATTCGTATATATAATCGTCAAAACGAGGGAAGGAGTGGAAGAGCCACGACCGACCGGCTGCCGGTGTATCGTGTGGTAGTTAACGATATATATATATACACATATATATATAATATATATATGTGTGTATATATATATATATATGTAGAAGTGAAAAGTGCGATCGCGAACGACACACCCTCTCGACGTCCTCTCTCTCTCTCTTATTCTTTTCATCTCTCTTTCTCCACTTCCCTCTCTTCTTCCTCGGTACACTTACAGAATCGCCAACGTATAACGCGCTCTCTGTCTCTCCCCCCTCTTTTCTGCATTCTTCCTCGTCTCCAATCGCGGTCTGCTACTTTCCTTTTCTCTCTCTCTCTTTTTTATTAATTTTGATTTATTTCGATATCGGGATCGCTCTTGGTCGATGATGACGTTGACGAAAACGACACGGCGAGGTTAAAAAATTCCAAGTACGGTCAGAGTCCTCTCTCTCTCTCTCTCTCTCTCTCTCCACCCCCTCCTTCGCCGCCATTGGGCCATCCCTCGTCGTCGTTGCAGCGTCTCGCGCCTGGTATTCTTACAACTACGACACACGCACGTACAGACAGACAGACGGACGGGCAGACAGACTGACTCGCGCGCGCGCGGATTCTCCTTTTCTCTCCTTCGTTCATCCATGTTTTTCCTTCTACCTCCACAGTCCGGTCTCCGTCGGCCGATCGAGAGAGTGCAAATTCGCGTTTAGTGTCGGGTGCGTGCGTGCGTGCGTGCGTGCACGCATACGTGTACGCGCTATTACAGTGTTTGGTTTCTCTCTGCCTCAGTTCTCCGATCAGTGTCGCCGGTGAGCGAGAGAACTCGTCGAGTGACGACTTTGGTCGGACGGAGGCGCCGACGAAGACGACGTGGGCGAGAAGAGGAGGCTGCTGTCGCGGGAGGTGGTGGAGGAGGAGGAGGAGGAGGTGAAGGAACCGGAGTGGCGGCGCTAAAGCGACCGGCTGACGGTGGTGGTTTTTAGGCTGCGCAGCGTCGCGCCGGCGTATTATTGTTATTATTGTTATTATCATCGCGACTGCAGCTGTATCGTCCGTTCGACGAACACCACCGGTACTGATAGTGATACTACACGACGACGAGCTACACACAAGGCCGCTATCATGTCCGTGAGAATGGAAAACGTGCCCGCGCGGAAGATAAATTATAAAATGATGGTGAGTACATATATATATATATATATGTTTCGCATCTATCTGTCTCTCTCTTCCTCCGGTCTGTTCCCTCGACGGACGGCGGGTGCGCAGTGCGCGTGCGACTCGCCGCTTACTTCGCGCAGCTCCGTCGTGCGCGCGAGCGCGTGTTAACGTGGCGTGCGACGAGTCTCGACGCGCCGCGCTTTGTCTCTCTCTCGATATTTTATTTTCCATTCTTTCGAATTTTTATTTGAAAAAAAAAAGGGGGGAAAATGATTTTTCATTTCGCAATATTCTTTCCTAATAGCGCTACTTTCGAAAGAAATTCAGAGGAAATGAAAACATCCTCGGGATGTGTGCTGTTAGGGCACTTTCTCTCCGGTCACCCTTGGAATGTACTTAATAGTTTTACGTTTGAAAAGCATGACGCATGGGGAAAAGAAAAATACCTAACCTAACTTTCTATTCCCGTTTCGCGTCCTATAATCGCGGCATTTCCGCGAGCGCAGGACGCGTGGTGCGGAGCCCCATGTTGGCTGAAAGAGTCATCGGGGGAAACGCATGCGCGCGCGGAAAAGCTATGGAGAGTTTTAATGATGGAGGCGGCCGACAACGGGTGGCCACGGGACCGGAGGAGACGACGGCTTGCGGAACCGTCGGTGTGTAGTTTGACAGTTTGCCGCGGGGCGTCTGGCTGCTGCCCCACCCAGAGTCGTCTCTCTCTCTCTCTTCGCCCGTTCCGTGTCTCACCGTGCCTGCCGTAACCCTCTCTCTGTTCTGTCTGTCCTCTCTCCGTCTCTCTCGTTCGCACGCCGCAAACACTCGATCCGTCTCGAGTCCGCCTTTCGGCCGCATATTTTCCCTTTTCTTCTCTGCGTTAGTTTCGTGAGATTTGTCAGGATATTTTTTCTTCACAACCACGGAAATGTAGAAAATTTCATTATAAAGCATATGTGAAATATTGCACGATTAATAATGAAGGTGTATATGTTTCAGGGTTTTTTTCCCTTTTAATTGTATTCTTAATTTTTAGCTCCGCAAAGTATCAATATATCTCAAAGTAAATGAGAGTTGAGGGTTTTCAATACATTTTTTTGATTTATTATTAAAAAGTTCAGCCAAATCTCACGAAACCAATGATTAATTTTATGACTTATGACAGACACGCCCATAAAAAACGAAAGATGCATAGGTAGCATATTTTATTCTCTTATTGTTAAAAGCCATTTTTAAGATACATAAGATTTGTCTTGAATTTATTATTAATATCGCTTACCGTTATGTGAACAATTTATTGCACGAATTAAAATATTATTGCACACGCGTGCTAAAGCGTTAATCTTTAAATCGAAATATATTTTATGAAAATTTAATAACACATAATTGTATTAAATTACAAGTATATAATAATTCTATATACATATATTATTACATTAATATATACAATTTCCTGAAATTCAAGCAGTTAAAAACTCGTCAATTATACAATAATATTTATTTATCTTTATAATTTATAAATTAATCGGAAAAAACAATTTATATACGAAATCTCGAGGAGAAGACTTGTTTTTAACTCAACACATTTTTATACAAATGTTACGATTTAAAGATTAATATAATCAAATACATCTGTTTTCTCTTTTACCATTTTATCAATATATATGTTAAAAAAAGCTGAAGATTGATAAGATATTGAAACTTAGCAATGCTAAGTATGCAACATGATATTTCGAAAATGATAAGTGCAATGTTTGTACACTGAAAAAAATTTGTCAACTTCACTAAACCTTTCAACTAAATTACTATTTTATTAATTAAACATATATTAATATATTTAAGTCAAGTATACGTTTTGTTATATTTAATTTAAATATTTTTATATGTTTAATTAACGAAATAATATTTAGTCGAAAGGTTTAGTCAATTTGGAAATTTTGGTCAGTTTAGTGTAAAGTAGAATTCCAAAACGGAACATTAGTCAGACCGAAGTAGATAAGCCGTATCGATAAGACTTTAGAGAGGCATGTGGTCTATGCTAGATGAGAGTGGAAATTCGGTGGCGGATAGGAACGTGTTGCAAGTTGCAACGGTGTTCTCTCTCTCTCTCTCTCCGTGCACAGGTTGCTAATTTTAGCTTCGGAACCCGAGAAGAGCTGAATGCTAGAAATTCGATGGGCACGAATTCGCCATTCCTGCTGACCCAAAAGGCAAATTCTAAGATCGCGTGTGTGATTAACAATCTCGAGGAAGGAAGTTTCTCGGAATGTACAGGCTTCTTGAAGTTCTCGCGTCTTTGAGTTATTCCAAGTATGACTAAACTTTTGCCGATAAAATCGATCAGTCATAATTAATTAATTTCTATTAATCATTTATCGATAATCTGTAATAAAGTCTCTAGAAGTTGTTTCAATTAAACAAACGACACTAATAAATTTCGATAGCGGCATTAATGTCATATTATATTTATAGCTTCATCGGTTAGGTTTACCACCGGAGAGAATTTTCTTTTAGAATTTACCCTGAAAATCATTAGAAGCATTTTTATAAGAGTTTCTCTCTGATCAATATTTAGTAAAATAAAGAATATCATAATGTACATAGTAAAATTAATTTTATTGGAGTAGATATATTAATATTTTTATTGTGATAAAAATATTAAATATATTAGGGTAAATTCTAAAAGAAATTCTCTCTGTGTAGAGGTTGAAGTTAACCGATGTTGAAATTGACCCTCAATTGAGAAATACTCGATGTTGGTGGAATAGGGCGAAACCAAAATGCAAATTTTCGATCGGCGTGATTTATTCGCTCGTTAAAATTCTGTCACCGCGTTTTACCCCCTCGGTTAATAAGCACAGTCATGATCGTTGCCGAGGAAAGGTTATCGCGCGCGATGAACGGAGTTCAAGCAACTCCGCCGTGATGATCTGTCGAGAACAGTCATCGTGTACAAAACAGCTGTTTGTTTTTCGCGACGAGAAGCCGTCCCGATTTAGATTTCTTTTATATGCGCGCAGTTTCTCTGCCGCCGTGTGAAAATTGGCCGATTCTTATTCCGGATAACTCGATGTTATCGCCGCATTTCTTATAAACATGTCACACGAGAGTTCTAATCTTCAAGTACGCATTAAGGTAAAATATCAAGTTTCTCTCTTTCTATATACGTATTAAAATTTAAAATGAATAAGTATGTGCTCGAAGAAATATAAAGAAGGAAAGGAAAATACAAAAAAATGGAGCAAGAGACTGCAATATAACAATATATTATATTGAAACTAGATGCAAAATTAATTCTATTCTTATATATCAGTGAAACTTACTTTTAAAGATTAATATCACGAACTCGTATCTCGAATAATGATCTCCCGTGTGAGAAATGGGGAAAAAAATGCGAACGCGTCGTTACCGGTTAATTAAATCCTTTCGCGCCTCGCTCGCTCATAATTGGTTTCGGATCGCGCGTTAATTGCAACGAGGTAATACGCGGTGGTTAATGAGCATCGCACCGCCGCTTCGTGTCGGACATGCATCTTGCACTTTCGAACGTGCATATATATGTGAATGCGAATGAAAGAATTAATAAACGCGCGCGCGGCTCCGCAATAATCACGTAAGAGATGTATCCCGTCTATTTTAATCAACGAGTTCCAAGAGTGCTTCTTGAATAACGAAAACGTCGCTGCAATAAGCGTAGACGTGGCCGCATTTTTTCTATTTTTTAAAGGTTACAAACAACAAGTAATTCAACATATTTTATACATCTTTTTGCGATAGATGTTAATTTTTTTTATTGCAATAAATATTAATCAGAGAAAGCCTGATAAAACTTTTCCAATTTATCATATTGTGTCATGATTTTCAGGATAAATTTGAAGAGAAAATTCTCTCTGTAATTAATCTGTCATTAATTTAGAATTATTATTTCATTATTATCAGATCGTATATTAGAGAATAGAAAGATAAAACGTTTCTCTTCGCTTTTTAAATTCACGGCAGACAATTATTATCATCAGAATCTCGATGACTTCGGAGGAGAGACTCCGATAAGATATTGGTTATATCAGTCTCTTATTCTTGTATTTTCCTGCTTTTTATCGGTTTTTTTTTTCCGAAACAGATAATTATTTTATTTGTGTCCTCTCTTATCGAAAGAGGGGCGCTGATAGTAGAATCGTGTTTCGAGACATAAACGCGCTGTAGAAAAAGAGAAAGCGAAATCGCACACGGATTTTCTTCCAAGTTCGAAAGTTGCCTAACGACAAAGTTAATGTATTAAATTGCGCCAAGTCAACGTCTCTTCGAAGTTGGTGGAACATTATCTTTCCAATTTCCGAAGTATTATATTTTTTTCTCGGTTTATCGCGCCTCAACACCGCCATGTATTTTATCGCGTTGTCAATACTTGACGATGATAAGTAACGGTTGCACGTTTAATAGAGTTCAGATTCTCGTCATTATAAATCTTTCAACGTCTTTTGACGGCATTTTTCTCAAATTAATTTCTCGATTTTTATTCCAATTGAATTTTTTTTTTTAATTTTTTTAAATAAGAGAACTTTTGCATCAAATTCTTAATTATAAATTCTTCGCTTTACTTTTATGAATTTTCTCATCCTTTCTTCTATTGTGCATAATTTGAGAAAGTTTATACTTTCAGTTTTGCCATGTTTGGCGAATCCTCAAATATCTGTGTAAATGAAATGCGATATCATTATTATTAAACGAATGCATTTGAGGCAATTAAGAGTACATATAAATGTCTGCTCTGAATTTTTTATTGGACTACAGGTATAATCTCATCGTAATAATTGTCGAGGTTAATCAGCGAGAAAAAAATGGCCATCTTTTTTTCGTACTTTAAACACCGCAATCTGCTTGTCAAATATTTAATCACAAGATCTTCGAGTTAGTACTTGGTCGATTTAATCACGTTATATTGCATCACAATATTTGATTTCATTTGATACAGTGGAATTGTATAAAGAGTAAATAGCCAGATAGAAAATGATATGTGATCGTCT